ATGAGCTATTTTCCGCACCAGTCGTTAATTTTTATGAGATCATTTTGAAGCAAAAGATTATCAGTGTCTGTTGAGATGGTGTTATAGATGACGCAATCATCGGCGAAAAGTCGTATTTTGCAGGAGATGTCATGTGGGAGGTCGTTAATACAAATTAGAAAAAGCAGTGGGCCAAGGACGGAACCCTGAGGTACACCTGAAGTGACGTTTGTTAGCTTTGATTCGTGCTCGTTAACAACCGTGTATTGTATACGAGGCGCGAGAAAGGTGCTAATCCATGAATATGCAAGGGGATCTAAGTTTAGGGATGATAGTTTAGAAAGCAGACGTTGATGGGGGACACGGTCAAATGCCTTCGAAATGTCGGGAAATATGGCGTCGGTTTGTATATGGCGTTCTAGGTTAGTCTGCAGTTCATGAACAAATTCACATAGTTGGGTCTCGCAGGAGAACCCCCTACGAAAACCGTGCTGGTGCCTGAAGAAAAAAATATTTGACGTTAGGTGAGTCATGATGTTAGAATACAAGATGTGCTCAAAAAGTTTTGACGCAATGCAGGTTAGAGAGATGGGACGATAGTTCGAGGCGGAAGGTCGAGTTCCCCGTTGGTGGACTGGGGCGATCCTCCCAATCTTCCAGTCGGAAGGCAGACAACTCTCGGAAAAAGATTGATTAAAGATGAGACTGAGAATTTCACCGGAAACGTTGGCTGTATTTTTAAGATATTTGCATTAATATTGTCTGGGCCTGCTGAGGAAGTGAGCGGTAGTTGTTCTATTTGCTTAACAATACCGGATGAGTTAACAGTAATCAACGACATGGGATCATAACACTCTTCAGGCACAGTTGGAACATTTTGTGGGGATTCAGTGGTAAATACAGAAGAAAAGTAATCGTTAAGCACTACAGGGCGCTCCCTCTCCGGTACAGGCTCACCAGCAGTATCCTTCAGATTGTTATTTACGTGGCCACTTTTAGGTGACATAAGCTTCCAGAATTTTTTTGGATTATTTTGCAAGATTGCGGGCAAGTCCTGGGAAAAAAAATTTAATTTTAGATAGCTTAATGGTTTTGGTATAGTTTGTGAGCGTAGTGTAAAAAGCGTCCCAGGCAACAGATAAGTTAGTTCGTTTTGCCCTTGCAAACGGTCGTTTTTTCCTATTGCACAATGACCGGAGCGCTTTATTGTACCATGGATTCGAAGAGTCCGTCCTAATACGCAAGGTAGGGACGTATAATCTAACCAGATCACTTATTTTATTCTTGTAAAATACCCAGTTTTCCTCAACAGATCTTATCGAGAATTCAGTTACGTACAAGCTATAAAAATTTGATAAATCAATGTTCATTGCTACTTAATCGGCTATATTGTGCTGATACTGCATCACTTTTGAAAATATATTGTCTAGACATCGTGTGGATGGGAAGAACCGCATATTCGGAGTATTTGCCAACAATATTGTGTAGATACTCGCCGAATATTCTTGTGTCGCTTGGGTCGTTTTAAAATTAGTATTCTTGAATTTTATGCCGTCAGCCCAGAACCATTAGTCTAGACTACGTACTGTTTCTGGGCTGTCGGCACAGTATAGACCGTTTTACTGAAAGAGGGCGAGAGAGAAAAGGGGAAAGGGCTACCGGCGCTTTCCCCCTTTCTGATTGTGTAGAAAGAGTGAAAATCCCGGATGAGAGGCTTGGCCGGTGTTGGGTGTCTGCTGTGCCCCAACTTCGTTCGCGCTTTCTTTTTTGTTTTGAACTCGCAAACTTAATTAGAGTAACGGGCTTCGATGGCAACAGTTCCCCGGTCATAGGGTGCACGAATAACGGCAGAAAGCGTCGAATACTGTCCGAGGACCTATGTAGCTTGCAATGAATCCGGCAAGGCGAGAGCGACTGCAAATGTCTTTAAGCTCCATCGCTTTCCACATGACCCCGGTCTTGGCGGCAGCGGATTGCGTTCGTAAACCGAAAAGACATTTCCTCAACACCATCTTCTCGACTGTGCTCGGAACAGCTTGTGAATGGAGCGCGCACCGAACGCTGTACCGCCGATGAACATGGGGTACGCTCGCAAGGTGCGTGCCAGTTTTCTCGTGATAATTGCTGTTTCAGCTTGTAAAATTTTGTAACTGAATTTATCTTAATATTGATAATTTGCAGTGGTGACTGACTCGATTTCATCATTGACAACACTTAGTTGAAGGCTTATTTCCGCCGCCGGGTGAGGCTAGAAATTGTTGAAAAAGTAGTTCTATCGGTTTTCCTGAATAGCGATCCCCTGTGCGATACCAGAGAGCCGGCAAAAGCGCTCCTTGGAGTGCCGCTGGTGCTATTTGGGTTGTTTCCGCTGATTGGGCGCTTTGAAGCGCTGGATAGTCGCTCCAGGGTACGACTCGTGTGTCGCGATCTGCGTCTTCGAGCCCAGTGTGTACGTTTCTTTGTTCGAGTCACGGCATCCGCCAGTGCGGCAACGGGGGGAACAGCGGCAGCGAACGTGTCAGTGATAGAAATTGGAGGTTAGTACTCAAAATATTGCATCAAATAGTAAAATAATTCGTGGCTGCTTTGACGCTTTCTGCGGTTCGATATAAGATCATCTAGAACGTCTTCGTCGTTCATCCACAATGAAATATCAGAACACGGACAAGCAAGATAAAAGCAGCGCAGCAAAACGATATGTAGCAGCTCCGGGTGTTTACAAAAGTTATTTGAGGTTCCCGTTTCGTGTATCTCTTGTTCATTACTAAAAACGGCTGCGTTGAAATGGGCCTATTGCAAGCAAAAATTTATGAATGGTTCATCATTTCCAGTCACGCGGAAAGTGGTGGAGCTTCAAAACATTGCAGCCGCACGTGCCTTGCCGAATTCCATGCAAGCTACGAGGTCCTTGGGCGGTATTCGACGCTTCCTGTCGTTATTCGTGCACCCAATGACCGAGCAATGGTGTCCCGATGACCGGGGAACTGTTGCCATCGAAGCCTGTTGCTCTAATTAAGTTTGCGAGTTCAAAACAGAAAAGAAAGCGCGAAAGAAGTTGGGGCACAGCAGACACCCAACACCGGCCAAGCCTCTCCATCCGGGACTTTTACTCTTTTTACACAATCAGAAAGGGGGAAAGCGCCGGTAGCCCTTTCCCCTTTTCCCTCTCGCCCTCAAAATGGCGCTACCCACGATAAAACGGTCTATAGACCACATCTATATAAAAAAAAAAAATAATAAGTGCAAACCTTTCGTTTCCGTCACCCTTCAAAAGTACCTTTATGCTGGCGTGCAAATGAGGCATTCTACCTCTTTGTGAAAAAAAAAGGACCGTGGTAGAAAGAAGACGAAAAAAATAAAAACAACAAACCCTGGAAATCTACGCTCATCACATTGACTACTTCGCCAAGTAGTATAATTCTTTGGTGAATAAGAGAACGGGAGGGGCTCTGACACACTTGTCATCGAGTCGAGCGATCTTCTCGGCCTCGATACTTCATCTAATTAAAGGGTCGCCACTCCGCGGCCAAACGGTGCATTCTATGGAATTGGGGATCAAAACCAGAGTGTCGACAGTGAATCCCTAAATGGCTCGAGAAAGTCTCGATCGTGTCGTTGTGATGCTCTCGCAGCCGATCGTTGAGACATCAGTCCGTTTGTCCGACATCCGTGTCGGGTGTCTCGGGGGAGCGGCTTGCTGTTGGCAGTGTTGGCGGTCACGGAAAGCCTGGTTCACACAGCACGGTTTTCTTACGTTTTCTTACATTACGTATAAGTCACCGAAAGATTCTTGTCTCGAGTGTCGCGTGCCAGGCTTTCTCCTTGAACTGGTTGCCTCACTTAATATTAAACACGGATGTCACGGTGACTTCTGCGCAAGCTTTCGTAGCATAACGTAATGTAAGAACACGGGGCTGTGTGAACCAGCTCTTACGGTGTTACCTGTAACGCGTTACTTTTTTCGGTAACGGGTAACGTACTCGTTACATTTTTCAAAACAGTTACGGGTAAAGTACTTGCGTTACTTATTTTGAGTGACGGGCAACGTAGTTACGTTTCTCGTTACATACTCATCCAAAGACTGAAGAGAATCACGCTTTATTTTTATTTTTTCGTGTTTCTAAACTTTAGCCACGTTATTTTTCTGTTGTTGATTTTTTGGGGGTTTTTTTTTTGCGTTTTTTTCTCACGAGTATTTAGGTCAAACGGTAAAAAAAAGATAAAATATTTATGTTCAGTTTCTGCGTGAACTTAACGTTTCTTGAAATGTGGTGCTTATGGATACCAGTAACGTCAAAAGAGTAAAACGTGTTAATTCATAATTCAAAAAAGTAACGCAAAAGTAACGTTACTTTTTACAGGTAACGGTAAGGCATTCCTTTTATTCTTGAGGTAACGTAGGTCGGTAACGCGGTTCCTTTATCTGCACTAACGAGTAACGTATTTCGTTACTTTTTTTCGGTAACGCGTATAACACTGGCTGTTGGTAAGGAAGGGAACCGAAAAAGTCGTTACGTCACGATTAGTGGTTGTAGTATCTTCTTATATCAGAGGTTTCGTCGAGTGACAAAATGAAAATGTGTATGTCAAAATCTGAGCTTCTCAAATTAATTTCCTGATGGAATCCTAGTTATTTTGGTTTGATAAATTAGCAGCGTAATTGAAGGTACGTTATATTTCTCGATGCGTGAAGACATATACGATAGCTATATTTAGGCTGGAGGTCATTTAATGGCAAACGCACATATATATTTTTTTCTTCAAAATTCCCAATAGGGCACTTGTCATGCGGGCAACGAATTATGGGAACGTATGTTCCTCTTTGCCCCCGCCGCATCCACCGCATGACACTGAGGAGAGAGAAGGTTGCGCAGTCACAGTCCTCCGTCGTCTGCTACAGCCGATTATGTACAGCCAGTTCCCGGCATTCCTTTCGGCGCAGCGGAAGGCGCTGCCCGCTTCCGACTAACGAGGCGACGTAAACTCCCCGATGGCCGCGTGTGTTTCTCCCCGCGCCGCAGAGCCTGGTGAACTTCGTGTACTTCGCATCGATCCTGGCCCAGACCATCGGCCACTGCGGCTCGTCGGAGACGCTGCTCGAGCGCAGGGAGCGGCTGCAGTCCATCTCCCGGAGGCTGTCCGGTCGCGCCGCCGCCGTCCGGTCCCCGGCCTCCCATCGCGCCACCGTCTCCTGACCGCGAGCGCCGCACGAGCCACCACAGCCATCCACGGTCTTGCATCCGCGCCTTCGTGTGTTTGGCCGCCAAGCACCATGAGAATAAGCACCCACGTTTATTTTTGTGGGCGCCGAAAACATTCCTGCAGCCAGCGACGTGTGAACATCTCCTAGGTGACAAGTCCGTTGTGCTGGAATTTTTACGTTGCCTCAACCGCGGGCCAACGCGCGGCGCTGATTGGACACGAGTGTGGCGTCAGTGTTCGGCTGGGGCTCGTGTCCTCGCTGATTGGACGCGAGTCCCCGCCGAACGGTGACGCAGCACTCGTGGCCAATCAGGGCCCTCCTCTGGTCTCCGGGGTGTGACGTGAGAAATATAACACTATATACGGCCTGGTCGTCTATAGGAAGTGTCCGGAAAGCAGAGGAAGCTGCGGGTCGTTGAGAGTTTACGACAGGGTTACCGACACTGGCTCATCCGGTACGTCGGAGTCGCTACTCTCGGTGGTCGGAAACGACGAGCGAGATCCTCGTCGGAATGACCTAACGGATCCAGCCACACGGGGGTTAGTCGAGGGTCTCTCAGGGTTTACTCGCAACAACTCTTCGGGAGGGACTGTGCCCGTGGGCTAGGCTTTACCAGACCGGAAAAAAAATTAACTACAGTCCGTTTCAAAGTAACTGGTAAACACGGACGCCACGGCACCTGTGAGCCAATGAGAGCATCGGGACTTCACTTTTCAGGAGTGAACTTCGACGGCGCGTTTGTCACGTGTCTGACTTCGACGCTCCTGTTGGATTACGAGGTGCCGTACCTTTCCACCGTTTTCCACGTTATGCCGAAACGAAGTTTTCATAACGTCGGTTTGTGTCACGTGAGGGCTATTTGAGTGGAGGTTGGGTTAATTTGCCCGTCTGAAACGGCTGCGATAAACCAGGCGATGGCGGAAAGTATAGTTCGCTCCGTTGCCACCAGTGGGGCGCTGAGGTGGCGTGTTGAGAACAGTGATTCGCGAGTTCCGGTTAAGAGTTTGCCGACATTACGTCCCTGTGGCTGGTGTAAACGACCCTAGAACCATAACAAGATAAAGATGCATTGTGGGTGGTAACTCGTGGATCTCGTGGGTAAACTGTTTTCTACCCGAAGGTTGTGCGGTTATTGTTTTCTTTTTATTGTTTGTTCGCGTATTAGCTTTTTTCCAATTTGCGTTTATTTTGTTCGAGTTTTTTGCCAGCGGCGAACCATTGTCTGCCCCCCCCCCCCCTTCCTCCTTTCTCTTTTTTTTTTGACGTATTGCAGTTTAAGCGTACGCAATAATGACGACAGACACGGGGCCGTACACATTAAACTGATGAAACTTCCAACGTGTCACTCTCTCTCGAGTGTACATAACGAGCCAGACAAAAGCGACAAGAAAGCGAAGGGCGACTTTTATCGTCGCAGTTTGGGTCACATTATCGCGCGGACGTGAACGCGCTTAGTTTAAACGAGGGCAGCATCGACCGATATTGACTCGGAGTCATCGCCTCGTCGCAGCTTGCCTCTTTGCATTTCGTTTGGCTCATGGGGGAGTGCCACCAATGTTAATTTGTCAGTCTTATTGTTGGATGTCTCTCCATCGTTCGGACTCTATATCGCACCGCACGCATCTTCAGTCCCTTTGAATGCCCACAGCAGTGCGAAACTCTATGGGCCATCGAAAGAAAACGATTGTGTTAAAATAGAGTGGGTCCGCTTATTCAGATCGTGCGGGAGATCGAACGTTACTACGCCCTCTCTATTTTGTGTCATTCTTTTTCGTCCGCGTTGCACTGCTATTCATTAATTTCTTTTTTATAATATTGCGTGTAATCGAGCGCTATTGGGGCGTAAAACGTTTTATAAATGAACCAATTGAAACTTTTCACAGCGGTGTCTTTATGTACACTCATATTTCATGAGTAGGTTTCTACTAAAGAAATAGAAGTATTAAACACAACTGTTTTTTTCCTACCGACAGGGAGGAAAGCGGCAGAAACCGGCTGGTTGGCGTTGTTTCTCACAGATGGCGCAACTTATGGCAAAAACGTGTAATTTTCTCTTAGAGATGAACACCCAAAAGCAGACTAAGCAGACCCGAGAGCGTACGATATACCTTCTTTGTGTACCTGCGTTAAGCAGACGATTTCCGCCGCCTCCCTCCTCCTGCATTAAAAAAAAAAAAAAAAAAAATTATTATTTATTTATTTACTTTTTTTTGGGGGGTGGGGGGTGGGGTTAACTGTCTATCTGAAACCTACCCTCGTGAAGTTCGAGTAGAATAAATGCGCCACTTACAGCCGCCTTGGTGAAAAAGTTTCAATGCACTCCGTACGTTCGATTTACTTATACAAATGTTTTTTGTTTGTTTTTTTACGCCCGAACAGCGCTCGAGAGCAGCCTGTATATAGTTCACGTTCGTTGCGTAATCGCTGGCGGATGTTGTTGCCCGTTTCGGAAGTCAGGTGTTTGGAACTTGGGCGTCCGGACGTTGACGTCAGTGTTCGCGGCATTGGCGAAACGGGCGAGCCGAGCTTGTGGGCCGATTGCTGGGCAGTGGCCCGGAGATAGCCCCGTCGTAATCTCGAGTGTTTGTGTGTCAGGGGCCTCCTTCACATCGGAGCCCGAGCCTCTCTGGGATTCCGCAGTTCTCGCTGCTCTTGCTTCGGTTCAGCCACTCTGCTGACCAACTGTCAATAAAGCTGTCTCAGTGTGCAGAACTTGCGTCCGCCTCGGTGAATTCGGGTTAAACAAAACGGGTTTTGGGTTAACCGTTGCCTGCTTTGGCCTTTTTAGAGCTGCGTATTTTTGTTATTACGTTTTATACACTGACTTGTGTCTCATGGCGTCATGGAGGGGCGGTGACGTAATGCGGTGACAGTACGAGCATGCGAAGATACTTGGCTCGTTCTAAAACCCGTTCCATCCGTTGCTCTCGTAGCTCTTATTAACGAACCATTGTACAATGCACACGCACGCCATTCATATGTGGATAAAGTTCAGCGTGACCTAAAGTGCTCACTTTACATATCCAGTATCATTATACTGCAACATCGAACTGTCAACAACAAATATGCATTAAAAAAAAAAATGCAGCCGAACTGGATAAGGTTATTTAAGGGGTATTCACACGAGGGAGAAATCCCGGGGATTTCTCCCCGGCACGCGCATTCCACGACGAAAACGTCAAGCTTTGCGATGTGCAAAAGCCTCGCGTTTTCATCTCGTGATGCGCGCGTGCCGGGGAGAAATCCCCGGGATTTCTCCCTCGTGTGAATACCCCTTAACAAGCTTCCACCCATTCGAATGATCGAGTTAATTTGCTTTTAATTCACTCAGTAGACCTTGACTTTGAATAGTTGGCCTATTTAAATACGGTAACGAAAGAAGCGATTTGAGATACAAAAATAATTTTCTAGCGAAGCCCATAATATGCTCTCGATTTACCAAAGTTTTCTTTCTTGAATCATGAACTTGAAAACAACATCACGACCACTGATGCAACTCGTCAAGATGTCGCAATCTCATGTATACTAGCCGCGGTTTTATTTCTAAATGTATACAACAAGGTAGAGTTTTCACATCAGCAATGACTTGGGGATCTTTCAATAGTTTCCAAATACCCCTCGCGCGCTTGTGCAGAGCTTTGCAAAAATGCTTTTCCCCTCAGCGCGCGCGTGCGCTGCGGCAAAGCGAGGTCCGCACAACCATATGATGTCCGCTCTGCGGGTGTCGCTTTAGCGCGGTAGGATGCACACTGGGCGGAGCTGGCCAACCTACTCAAACGCCACGACACACCACGAAAAAAAAAAAAAAGAGCGTTTTTAAGTACGGTCTGTGTTTTGAAACGTAGTTGAGATCGAACATTAGATTATTCAAAGCGATAATCGAAAGCTGGGAAAATGTTCACAAGTGCATGGTGACGATCTGGCGGGCCTGAGCTATTCGTCTCAGTGTTGACGAAGTTCAATTAACTTTCGACCCAAGAAGAAATAAAGAAATACAGCGGGATGTAGCGAGGTAAGTACTTCGGCGCGAATGGCGCAGCAATCACAACAATGCTATGTTGAAGGAGAAAGGTATGATGGAACTTACTTAGCTCATCTGAAATTTTACTGTTTTCCTAAACTGGTCGTTATGCAATTGCGACCATCGTCCTCTGTCTGATACGCTTAAACCTTCTCTATGTGGCTCTCCCGGCAAACGGACGCCAGTCGTCTCTTGAAATCCTCTGTCGGTTAGAGCAATAACATGCGCGAGATTCACGAAGGAATAATCCGAAGCGTTTTATCGCAGAGAAGAATGCGCAGGCACTCGAGAAGCGGGCGTCCCATCGAACAACCAGCTATTTTATCATCGTGGAAACGATACGCGTATTCAATCCGATGCCGCCGTCTTGTCGCGGCATTCCTATTCAGAGACTGGATCAAATTCCCCGCACACCGGGAATTCGCTTCTCCCACCTGAAGGGCCAACTGGCGCGGGATTTCTTCGAATTTCATGCCGCCCGCACTTCTCCGAAGCTTCCAAAGGCGGGGAGGAGAGAGTCGGATCAGCAACCCGGACGTGACGCACGACGTCGTCACGTGACCCGTCTCCGTCACATCCGCCAAGACCGGTTTCCTCCTCTCTCCGAGGCCTCCGCGTTTGCAAAGCGGAACCCGTGGAGCCGCCACTGTCGTCTGCCCGGCGAACGGAAACGCCCGACCTCGAGCGTCTCCTCTGCTCGGCACGGGGAATACTGTCTGGTCGGCGGCGTGCTGTGTGTGAACCACTCCGATCGGCTTCCTTTTGTCCGGTGTGTGTGTCGCCCGTGCCGGTGGTGGGCCGCGGTTTGTGATCGGACGCTCTGCACCATCTGGATGAAACGATGAGGTGTGCGTCCGTGCTAGCGCTCGCGCTTTTCGCTGGCCTCTCCGCCGCGCTCAAAGGTAAGCGTTGCCTCTTTCCGAGCACCCCCGTGTGTGTCGCCGCCGCCGCCGCCGCTCGGTTCCCCATATTTGGGAGATTCGAGGGTGGCTCCCGCCCGAACGGCCGAGGGACGGCCGCTCGTGTACGTTACAGGGCCGGCCAAAGGTTGGAGTGTGGCTTTCCGCAGCGCCGCGATCGCTCGGGGGAGAGCGAGCCGCTTTCGCCCACCCCAGCAGCGGCGGAGCTAAGCCTAACTGTCGAAGGAGACGCCAAAACGCTGGGCTGCGGCAGGCGCCTCTCCCACCCGCTTTCCTGAACCACCAGTTTAAAGGGATCCCGAAAGTTCCTGGCAGCCCTTTGATCGTACGGGCGGCTGCGACCGAGTCCCGACGCGGCTGCCCCTTTACATCGCGCTTGTTTACGCACCGCGGCCGAAGAAAGGATACGGACAAGCGCTCGAGTGCTTGTATGCTAGTACGCAGAAGCCAGTGGTTGCTAGGGGCAACGCGCTCGGGGCTTGTGCTCCGGTAGTACGTCGCGAGCTTCTCTTTTTTTTTTACCCGGACCTTTTGAAATTTTGGGTTCTCCTTATACTTCTAGCATACATACGAGTTCCCACGGGCAAACGCGAATTTAACTCTCGCCGCGCGCGCGCACCCGAGAAATGCGCGAGTTGCGGGTCGGGATTATGCATGCGAGGCTGTACGCCGCGCTAACCAGCCGCTCTGCGCGATCGAGTTTTCGCTCGGATCCCGTTCGCTGTAGCGGTAAAATTGCGCTTTTCGGGTTTTATGTCTTTATTTTTTTCTTTTCCGCGAGACGTAGCCGCCGTAACGCTGGCACAACGTAACAGTGCCGCAATTACCGCGCTGCAACGTGAACAGACGGCTGGAACCAGTTCGCCCTTCTTTCCTCAGCGCCCCTGCCTTTCGTATAGGTCTATTCGTATGCACTGTGTAAAATGGCGGCGTGCTTGTGTGGGCTTCGTCCGCTCCTGCGTTTCTTTGCCTTCTCTCTTTCCTTCGAGGTAATGCTTAATGAGGCCGTTCTTCGTAATACGCCGCTGTGGACTTCAACACCGTATTTAGCGTAGAGGCAAAGCAACCAGACAAGAGAAGATAATGCGCGCGTTTCGGCAGTGCTCGGTTCATCGGAATAAGAGCGCTTGGTCGATGCCTCGGGGAAATTGGGCGGCACCGATAATTGACCAATTTGCTTTCATTCTTGCCTTTTCGTGCGTCTACAGTCGACGCATGCATGAATATCGGCGTTCGTATGCTGGGAAGACGCCAAAGGCGGGCGCCGAATCTTGTTGTTTTTTTAACCGGTGATCCTGCTTTTTTTTTTTTTCTTTTTTTAACAGATTTTGACGTGAAGCTTTAGTAAAATAAAAGAAGGTCGGACGTATGACTTTCGTACAGTAAACGTACGTTAAACACGTAATTAGATGACGGACGAAATCGGTAACGAAAGGAGCTCGTACCGCAGGCTACAAGTTGATTTCCGTACGTGGATCTCTGGCCGTGCTACCCCCTTTCTGTCATCGTCCTACCGCTGTGATTCCTATGGAGCAGTTTCGCCACGAGCCACGGGTGGGATCAGAAATCAGCCCCTGCCAACGCCTGTATTCGTCGTTTCATTCGAAACAGCTTCAAGCTTGGCCAGGCACGGTGCGAGAGACGTTCGCTAAATTACCCGAGGCGCATGGGGCGGCGTCTGGAGCAGGAACCGGTCTAAAGCAGAAGCGCACGAGAAATGACACTTTCCACGTGCGTTCGTCAATTCCTTGGTTGATAAGCTGAGCGGGTGTGCCTGCGTTCCCTGCTTTCTCCTCGGCTGCTATGTAGGGTGCCGCGTTATGGAGTTTATTTTTACTAAAACTTCGAGGCTGTTTTTCGGACTTTATATTTCCCCAGAAATTCGGGGTTGATCGAAGTTTATCTTAGCTATAGTTCAAAACTCCAAAATTCAGAGCTTAATTTTGCTGCGTTCCCAACTTTTCAAAATCAAAATAATAATTATCCGGACACAAACATATTTACAAGAACTCGACATGTACCGAAGCATATATCTTCGGCTCAAGCTATTCTCGGCGCATTGGCAATATTGACTGCAGCCACGGCGAAATTTGCAAACGAGTCTTTTCCGAATCAAGTTCGAGTCTTAGAAAACGAAACGTACCTGGACGTGGTTGCTGAGAAGCTTCAAGTTGCCCTTCCCTCGTGTTCTAGAATCTACGGGTTCATATGTATTCGAGTTGGCGTTGGCCCGCACAAGGCGATTCGAGGCTTTTGCGCATGCGCAGCACCGACAGCAGCGCCACCGAAGCGGTATGACGTCAGAGCCGTGTGTTGGTGCGTAAGAAGCGCCAATAGTACGGCCCAAATGAAGCGATGGAAGTGCCGCGCCATTTGTGCCATGAACGAAAGCATACGCGACATCTTGCGCCATACTGCCATTTCTCGCTAAGAATTGCGCCACAGCTGCGCCCAGATGGGCTCGAAGGGATGCGAGAAATACAAGTATTTAATTATTGGTCCCCCCTATTTATGGGAGAAGGAGGCGGAAAGGAGAATGGTACAAATATGTATTTCACCGAATGTCTACTAACCTTACAGTTTGTTTCTTCATTTAGGTCAGAGCACAGTCGAAGGCTCGTACACATACAACCACGAACGCACATACATCAAAAGCGCGAGTCCCGCGGGACATTCGCTGTTGCGATTGATTTGGTCGATGAAAGAGCACTTGCAGGAACGTACGCTGTTTGGTTTGGTCACATCGGCTCGTGGCGTCGGTTGCGCTTTGAATTAAGATATAACGAAGCGTAGAGATTGCTCGTCAACCGCTCTGGCGGGCTGATCGCCGACGTCGTCGAAATTTCTAGACGATGTCGGCCATGTCCGGAGCCAGAAGTCGCGAGAAAACGTTGCGTAGTAGTAGTAGTATGATGGCGATTACTGTGACAACACAGAAGCAGAATCTTGTACTCATGACGAGATCATCTCGATCATCATGTGTGTCGCGTGGTTCCTTCTGCCGCCTCTCACTAGCTCGCCCGCTTCCATCTTCACCGCTTTGCATCGGAGTGCTAGGAGCAGTGGCGGACATGGGTGAGCGCCTGGGTTAATGTGATAGGCTCGGAAATTAAGCTCACTACTATTACAGGTCCCCCCCCCCCCCCCCCCCCCCGGGCCCCCTGTGTAGTTTGGATGACAACATCCTTTCAGTTGGCAGATCCTAAAGTGAGATAGCTCGACCTGCGTCTGCCGGCGAACCAGTCTGCTTTCTACGAGTCGCACCGTTCTGCTAGAAACCCCCAGCGGACTGTCTTATTATTTTTTTCTTTTTTCGTCCAATAACTATTTGTCGGACCTGTTTTCTGCCGGGGTGACTTCGAGCGTCGCGAAAAGTGTCTGCACGCCCACCGTCCGGCCTAGGCGACCGGCTGGCCGTGCGCCGCACCCCGCCGCCGGTTTCGAGGCGCTCTTTTCTTGCCCGGCCGGCACGGCGTCATCTGTTTGCCATTCCTCGAGAGGGCTGATGGACGCCCGCTGCCTCTGCCAAACCGTTTCTTTTTTGCCCTTGCCGGTTGTTGCAGTCGCGGTGGCCATGGCTCTCTTCCGATCAGACGCTTCTTCCTCCGCTCGGCCTTCCGTCAGTGCGTCTGTTATTGTTTGCCTCCCCTCTCTCCGGTGGAATGCTCTTCGAATTGGTGCCAAGATCCGCTCGGTGTATTTCTTTTATGCCTCGCAAGCAACTCCGTTAAAAAAAAAAAAAAAAAGGGGGGGAAGACATTTTCCGCCCCGTATGACGTCACAGAGTTCCGTAGCGGCAGTTGGCTACAGCGATTCGGGTTTCTTCTTTCCGGTTTCGTTAGTTTTGAACGTGTATTGGTTTAAGTGTGTGAACATGCCTGTTTGTGTTCACCGTTCGGCAAGCCTGGCAAAGCGGATTTCCCGTAGTTTCGAGGTAATCCTTTCCTCTTAGGACGAGAAACAACGCGGGTGAGGTGGTAGGCCGGGTAATTTAAAACACGAAGACGGGGAAAAAAAAAAAAACATGTATTACAGGTCGGGTTTCACGTGTTTCCGTTATTTTCACGGTCCCTGTTCGGGGTATTACAATTACGCGAGCGGCGGCCTCTATATTCGGAATAAAGGAGAAATAAGATACGATCAAACCATTCGGATCTTTGGCCAACCCTCGCTTCGGGTCGGTTGCATGAAGCTTTCGGAAATAACAGCAGCACACTCGCTGGGATTAAAAAAAAAAAAAAAAAACATTATTGGGGTGTGTTTTTTATCTTCTCGTTCCTCAGTCTGGGGTATTCGCAAAGTCGCCATTTGACCGAGCCTTTCTCGGTCCTTTTTCCACGCTCGCATGGCGATGTTAGCCCGCCGAGCAACGATGTCGTGTCCGCGGTGTCGCTTCTGGTCGGGGTCGAAGAAAAGTAGCCCCAACGAGGGGAGGGTCCTCTCGCTTCCCCTGACCTTCGTTGCCGTCAGTTCAAGGGGGCGGCTTCCAAGCCTATACATAGAACGTCTCCCCCGACATGCCGATAACATTTTTGAAGCGGGCTCTTGAATTCTATTTTTCACTTTAACGACTGGGCTGACGCGCTGTCTTTTCTTAATATTTTTTTTTACGTGTTTATTGAATTTTGTTACATTCTTGCTCCTCGTTAACTCCCCGTTTGCCATGCGACCAGAAAGCCACGGCAGCAAACCAGGAAAGAATACGTGTCATAATGACGAACCTCAGATCCCGTGGAGATCCTGTGGATGTGCGTTTGTCCCACCTTTGTTTTGTGTCCCTAAGTCGCGGGGATTTCTCACGTATAGCCCCCCCCCCCCCCCCCCCCCCCCCAAGCCCCAACTACAGCCTTTCCTTTCCCTCAGAATCATTCCAAGTGTATTGTATATCTCGTTTGGCAGCGGATAATCCAGTTGTTGGCGGGGCTTGCCGGATGCTGAACAACTCGTGAACAGCGAAAGGAGCAAAATTGAAATTATTAACC